TAAAATAACAGAAATCCAAAATAAAGTTTCCTACAATCTCATCAGCTAGTCAGAACATTCTTTTTATTGATGTTACTTTAAGTCCTTGTCCCCATACATATCCAATTTCTACCTGTTTGTAGTAATTCTATGGCTAGTATTTTATATTCTACATTTTTCTCAACATTATTCCATAATAATTTTATTCTCTTTTGTTAGTCTTATTTTCTTTCTCTCCATTCCTCTGGACTGTAACCAATGCTAAAAGCCTAATGTATTTCTCTACATCTTTCTCTATGCTTGTTAAAATATATCCAAATAGGGACAAAGGACACAGCAGCTCTTTGGGTCGCTGGAAGCATGCACCAAAGAACAGGCAAATGAAAACTGAAACCACCCCTCAGGTGACAGCAACTTCCCTGACAAGACTTCCCACCAGCCCAGACCACCCAGATAATTTGAGCTAAACCCCTGAAGGACCTTGGAGTGACCCCTGGAATAACCTGCAATTATCTTTACCTTATTATAATACTAAAATCTGCCCAAGGAGGAGCCTCCACCTCATTTACATAACATACAAAGTATGTATAGGCAGGTCTTCTTAAGATGCACACAGGATTTTATGCCTGCCTCTACATACAATGACAAGGCTTCCCTATCTAAATATTCATCCTGGGGCGCCTGGTTGGCTCAGTCGGAAGAGCATACAACTCATGAGTTTGAGCCCTGTGTTGGCTATAAAGATTACTAAAAAATAAGTAAGTAAATAAAAACTAACTATTCATCCTATCTGTAAACAAAAAGCACCTGTTGGCCCTCTCTTGGAGTGAATTCACAGCTTTAGAAGCTATTTCCCATGATCTCCTTATTTGGTGCAAATAAAGTTCTTTGTGCAACAGAAACAAAACCATATCCAAATGCATACATACATAATAGGGGTTGTTATGTTTATGTTACGTTATAGCTGTAGGGTTTTAAAAATGGGATCACGTATTTCTGTACACATTTCTTTTCTCATCTAGTATTTCACAGAAATAGCTCTAACCCATTCTGATAGCTGTATAACATTCTACATAAGATCATTTCTCTAGGGGCACCTGGCTGGCTCAGTCAGTAGAGCATATAACTCTTGGTCTTGGCATCTTGAGTTCAGGCCCCACATTGGGTGTTGAGCCTACTTAAAAAAAAAAAAAAAAAAAAATCATTTATCCAACACTTACTCTCAGAGACATGGGAGTTCTCCTCCAGTTTTGTTTTTCTTCCTTTTCTTTTTTCTTTTTTTTTTTTCTTCAGCAAACAATGCTGCAATAAATATCCCTAATCTCTGCACTTATAACCTCCTTCAGTGCTGATGACCTTGCTACTAAAGAATAAATTCCAGAGTGGAATTCTTTTAGTTCTCAAATATTTCAAGTTCTTTCTCACCCTAGAACCTTTGCACTTGCTCTTTTCTTTTCCTAAAGTGTTTCCTAAACACACACCAACCTGCAATTTCATATTTATTTATAATTATTTAATGTCTTTCTCATCACATGAGTCTAAGTTCCTTGAGAGCTCAATCCTATCCATCCTTTAGGTCTTACCTCAGCTTACATATACTTGTTTGTAGAAGTTTCCCATGAACTCCAATCCCAACTGATCCCTCCATCATATTTTTTCATAGGTCTTCAACTTTTCTTTCTAGAAATTATCACAATTTGTAATTATATATTTATTTGTGTGATTATTTAATGGTTTCCTCAACTAGGTCTGCAGGGAGCACATCTATTTTGTTCACCAGTGTAACCCTTACCCTCAGAAGAGTGCAGGGTGCCTGAAAAATGTAGTTGTTAAATATTGAAACATTGAAAGAATTTTTTTAATGTAGAAGGCATTCTTTTTTTTTAGATTTGTTTGAGAGAGAGAGAAAGAGAGAGTGTGTGTGTATGCAAGCAGGAGCAGGGAGGAGGGGCAGAGGGAGAGGGAGAAGCAGACTCCCTGCTGACGCGGGGCTTGATCCCAGGACTCCCGGATCATGACCTGAGCTGAAGGCAGACGCTTAACAACTGAGCCACCCAGGTGCCCCTAGTGAAACATTTCATTTAGAAGTCTAGACCTTCTTTCTTCAGTTTGCTGTAATCTACATTCACTGAGTAGAACTTGTATTGATCATTGGGACCCAGTCTGTTCCAGGATTCCGGGTTATTCTTCCTATCCCAACTGACATCTGGATTGCACAATGCCAAGGGCAAGACATACAGTGCTGTTCCAGTACCTGCTGCCCCAATAAATATGAAAAGGGGGATTAAGCTTGGATGCTTCTTGGACTGAGGATCTGGCCTAACTTGGCTGTAGCAGAGCCCTCCAGCAGAGCAGAAGTAAAAATCAAATATGCAAGGCCTGGAACTAAAGTAGTCCCTACCAGAAGGAGCAATTTTTTAAAGGATGGTCAGGGTAGATCTTAGGAAGTTGACATATGAGCAAAGACTTAAGGGTAGTGAAGGAGCCAGCCATATGAATATCTTAAAGAAAAGTTTTAGAGGGAGAAAGCCAGTACAAAGGCCCTGAGGCAAGAACATGCCTTGTATATACAAGGGATAGCAAAGAAGTCAACGAGACTGCAGACACACTGGCGTGATGATGTTAGAAGAAAAAGACTGAAATTTATTAGTTGCTTTAGCAGAACCATGCCACTTTTTTCCTCCTCACTCCAGCTCCTACATTAGGTCATGTGCACACTCATTTTAATGTGGAGAACAAAGGCAAAAGAAATACAGAAACAATTAAACTTCCTTAAGACTTTCAGCTCATTGACAAATACTTGGGACTGGCAGGGTGACCCTCCTCCAGAAACTCAACTGCCTCAATGTTAATGCTTTGCTAGGGGCCAAAGGCAACCTTAGCTTGACATTATCCTAACTTCCAGGATCCTGTAAGTCCACTTTAACAGATGAAAATCTCTTTGGAAACTTCCTTTATCTCCACCGCCCTAAGACATATGTTAGCAATCCTCCTCCAAACATACGGCCCACTGATATACATCTGAAGGGTCTTATGATTAAGGTTTTACTGGACAGTAATAAATGACCCCTCAAGGTTCTGGAACCTTGCTTCCAAATTCCTTAGAGACTTACACTATCCCTAACCCCTCCCAACTTGGAAGTATATAATCAGTCACTCCTCACAACTCCAGTGCAGCTCTTTCTGCTCACAGGTCCTTTCCCTGCAGTATAATAAAAACACCTTTTTGCACCATAAAATGTCTCAATTCTTTATTGACCATAAGGCTCAATGATCTCGCATCAACTTAACATGCCCTGTCTCTTCCTTCCTACCTCTCTACAATTCCCAGCCTTTTTTGATTTTCCACATGAGTGTCAACTACAGGATTGCATAACTTCCTAAATATGGAGAATTATACCTGGCTTATTTGTGTAGATTGTTGTCAGGGTCCTGAAGCTAAGAATCTAATCATATTATAAAGCAATTGACTGGGACCAGGGCACTACTAAAAGGAAGCACTGAGACAATTATTGTACTGCATTGAATTGTTGCAGTTCATAGCAAAAGTACCGATATTTCCCTTCCCTCTCCAATCAATCCTCTTCCTTCACTTTTTTTCAACACCTACTTCAAAACTATGACTAGAAAGTCATTCCTGATTGATCATGCTAACTAGGTGTACCCAAAGCACTTACATGTTCAGAAGTGAATAATTTAAAAAGTCTAAACATCTTATAAAGGGTTCTAAAAACTGTTAATAGCTCCTTATTGAGTACAGGACAAAACAGAAAATTCTTAGTTTGATCTTCAAGACTTTCCCCTACCTGGGCTTAAAACTGTCTTACTAACTAGTGTTTTGAGAACTCTCTCCAGCCAAGTCAGTCTCGCCACATCATCATGCCTACTCTCACTTCTGCTCCCTTTTCATTTGTTCTCCACCTAAAACGTTCTTTCTTCCAAGGCTTAACTCCATTTCCACTTCCTACACGAAGGCTTCTTTAACCACTTTAGCTCATAATTTTCCCCTCACCTTCTATCATTTGTCTATGTAGCTCATTTTATTTAATAACTTATTAGAGCAAACTCAAAATAAATTTTTCCAAACCCCCCAAAACACATACACACTGACTCTTTCTTTCAAAATTTCTATATAAACTGGTTGTCCATTATAAGATCCTATGATCTTTGATGATTTTATACACCACACATTAGACATATACAATGGTTAATATGGTGCTAAGCCCCTCATAATGTATATATAATTTATTCTCTTACCTCACACCATTTGTTCGTAAGTTTTGTGAATTCCACCCTACAAAATTCCTCAATTCGACCCTTCCCTCTCATTGTGTGCTATTGCAGGACCTTAACCTCTCTCACCTAGACTACTACAATTGACCCTTAACTAGTCTCCCTGACTTCAACCTTCTCCCTTCTTCCGATCCACTCCCTTGACTCCTTTTTTTTCCCCCACTCCCTTCACTCTTAAGTGACAGCAAATCCAACTTCACTCTCCTGGTTAACACCTGTGGTGGCTCCAAACCTTTCAGCTTGATGAGAACCTTTGCAATGTTCTCCGGTTTACCTTTACAGAGTCATCATGTTTTTCCCCTTTCTAGAAATATCCTTCTGTGTTTGCCTTGTAAATGCCTCCTCCTCCTCCTTCACGATCCAGTTCAAAAGTCATTTCGTCTTCAACTTTCCCTGAGTAGGACTAACTGAATTTCCATTTATGTTTTCACAACACTCTAATGGTCTTATTACTATTACTTATTACTATTGCTCTGTCTCCTCCTCCCCAACACTGTGAGTTCCTTCAGTCCAGAGCTCTGTCTCGTTCATCTCTATTCCATATTCCCGCAGGCAAAATCAGGATCTGGTTTAAACCGCGCCCCGAACAAATATCTAGGGAATACAATTATTAGGACTTTTTTGTTTTGAAGACCTCCAGGAGCCCAGGACGTAGCTGGGCGAGTACTCCGCTTTCAGTAAAGCCCGTTTTTACAGGAGCCCGGCGTCTTTGCCGCTGAGGCACTCACCACAAAGCAGGCGCTGGGCAGGGTTCAGGGGTGGCCCTGACCCCCATGCTGACGAACAGCCGCGTCTGCGTGACCTACTCGGGTCCTGGCTAAGGGAGCTGTGGGAGTATGACCGACCTCGTGAGGATGGTAGCACAGACTGACTGACAGACTAAAGTAGTAGCGGGTCCCAATGGACTGCCAGACGGGCCAAAAGCAGGAACAAATGATGGCCAGCCTCGTCATCTTCGAAAGTAAAGAGAGCGAACTAATCGCCGCAAGACGCCAGACACGCGCTTCGAGCCTCTCATCACGCAGAGGAGGACGGGAAAAGGGCAGGAAGACTGCGAGCCTCGCCGAGTGCGCGTGCGCAGCAGACTCTTTCCGCCACCCGCGGCCCCGCCCCCACACCCTAGGCCTGCGCGAGCTTCGCCGAGTGCGCGCGCGCGCGGCAGCCCCATTTCCCCGCCCCTCACGTGGCCCCTCCCTGTCACCCTAGGCCGGCTCGAGCCTCACAGGCTGTACACGTGCGCGCATCCGAGCCGGCCCTGCAAGTCACGTGACCCCCGACTCCGCGTTTTCTCTACTACAGCCTTCCTAGCTCCTACTGCCAGAATCCGGCGTTATGGCTTCCGGCATGGCCCGCGCCGCTTCTTTCTCCCCGGTATTTCCCCTTCTCTTGTTCCTCCTGCTATTTTCCGCTCCGCATGGCGGTAGCGGCCTGCACACCAAGGGCGCTCTTCCCCTGGATACAGTCACTTTCTACAAGGTAACGGGGGTGGGGGAATCGCGCGCAGGTGCAGCCTGAGCATCGGGGGGAGCGAACACCCGTGGGGAAGAAGGCAGGGCTGGCAGAAGGTAGTCTGTAGCGACGGTCCCGGGGCTTCCCTCCATCCTAAAGGGCTGGTGGACTCTGGGCCGGGGCCATACCGTGACCATGGGGCACACAGGAGCCAGGGTCCCCGCGCACCCTTGCCTTTGCAGTATTTGTACTTCCTCTTTTGCAAAAGAGCTGCAGAGATGCAGTCTAGGGAACCAGGGGCCCCTTCCCGGCACCTAGGGGGAGAGGGCGGTGCCGGGCAAGATCCAATCCTCGAGTCCCAAGTGGAAGGCCTGGAGGGCGGAGCGAGGCGGACGCCACAGTGCTCCCGGCTGTGGTGGGGCTGGGGAGGTGAGGGAGGTGGTTGGAAACCCGGCGTGTTAACTGGCGTTTCCGCGACCGTCTTCCCTTGGTGTGGAATGCACCCTGCTTTGCAATATGCAAACAATGTTCAGAGATCCTGTGTCTTCCTGAAAAGTGCAAGCGTTAAGAATAAGGGAACTCTGTAGGGAATATCTTGGGCTTAGGGACAAAATGAAAAAAATCGGGTCAAGACTTGGAAGGATTCGCCTGGGTAAATGGACGTTGGAAATGTTGAAGGCTGACTGCAATCCCAACTCTCTCCTCTGGCACCTGTCTTCACCCACCGACAGCTTTCAACTTCGCCTACAAGGTGGGCAAACTAAGCATTGAGAGAGAAGCCATTCGTTTTATTTTCTTAATTTGTACCCATTGCTGGGAAGTGAAGTTCTTAGTTCTAAATCTGTCTCAAACGGTTGAACTTTTTCTGTTCTCAAAAGGCTTCCTTGTCCTAGATTTGGCATCTGTGGCTTATTCAAATGTTTAAAAGTGTAGGTATGGCTAGTTGGTTGTCAGGCACACCCCACAGCACCCTATGCTTTTGGGGCCTTTATTGGGAAGATTACACCCCACCCCCAAAAGCAGGAATGGGATAACATCACAGACCAAGTGTGACTTAGGGAAATTTTGCACTGTAAAGTTAATAGTATTTCCTGTTCAGTTGGTGCCTCTCTGTTTTTACTGCTACCACGCTGGTCTCAGTTGTCGTTACAGTAGTCTTGCAGGTTTCACTGCTCAGCCCTTCCTCCCCCCTCCTGACCATTCTCCCTTTTGTTCCCTCAGCTCCAGCCATACATGCTTTCTGCCCTTTGAGTATTCCTAGCTCATCGCTGACATGGGCCCTTTGCAGTGGCTGTTCCTTCTGACTAGAACATTCTTTGCCCAATCTTTGAAAGGCTGGTTGCTTCTCATCATTCAGGCTTAGGTTAAATATTACTTACCTTCTCAGAGTCCTTCCTTGACTTCCTCTTCCCCCTGTCAAAAGAGCCAGTCACATTAGTTGGATTTCTCTGTGGAGCACTCATCACTCATTTTTTACCCTTGTGTATTTTATCATCTCCCACACTACAATATGAAGAACTGCCTTGTCTATTTTGTTCCCTGATCATCTGCACGACCTAGCAGGTTACCTGTCACATAGAAGATAATAATAATTTGTTGAATGAATGAACAAAATGTCTTCAGTCCCTTTCTAGATCTTCCTTCCATCACCACTGAACAAAAGGGGAGCTACCTGGTAATACGTCCAGGGGCCTTGTGCTTTGTCTTTCAGCAATTTCCAGTGTCTTTTTTTGTTTCTTGCTTTTCACCATCACTAGAAATAAGAGACCCTGCCTCCTTTTTTTACTGCTTTGTTCACTTAGAGCAGTGTCTGGCACGTGATAGGTCCTCGGTACCTTTTTATTCAATGAATGAATGATGAATTCATCTTCATCTTGAGGAAGCAAGTTGCCTAAATATAGGATATGGTGGAGTCGATTCCTTAAGGATAAAGGAGACAGATTTCTAAAGCAATTAAGAGGTACAGACTGATTAATGAAAAGGAAAAAATTCACTGTGCAAATGTGTGCCATTCAAAACCATTCTGCCGATGGCTTAAAATGGCAGAATAAAAGATGGAGGCCTCTCAATTCTGTTTCAGTGTTAGACCACCATATAATTATTAATTATCCCATAATACGAATGTACGCTCCTTGAAGGTAGGGATCCTGTGTTGTGCTTTTAAAATATTTTTCCCCCAGACGTATGTAGCATCTGCTACCATAGCCTACCCTAGTTGTGTTCGTCTATCAAATATTTTCAGAACATCTGCTACATGCCAGGCACTCTTGGGCAATAGGGATAGAGCAGAAAACAAGTCAGACAAGGCCTTTGTACTCATAATGTATGTTCTAGTGGAGAGGACAGACAACAAACACTCAGATAAGAATTTTAGTGAGTGATTAATGCTGTGAAGAAAGCACAGCAGGGTAACGTGATAGAGGAGGGTGAAAATGAAGTAGTGCTAGCATGCTATGAGTGGAGGAGGCCTCTCCATGGGGTGGGGGTGGGGGGACCACATTTAAACTGAGCTTTGAATGAAGGAGTTGGGGAAAGTGTATTCCAGCCTTCCAGCCAGCAGAGACAGCAAATGAAAAGGCCCTAAGTGGAAATGAGTTTGTTGTGCTGAGCTGAAATAAGGACAGTCAGGCCAGAGGGATGTGATCTGATTTATATTTTAAGTCTTACCTGTGGGGCACCTGGGTGGCTCAGGTGGCTCAAATAAACAAATAAAATCTTTATTTTAGAGATAAATTTTCAAGAGAGAGAGAGGGAGAAGCAGGCTCCCTGCTGAGTAGGTGCCTGATGTGAGACTCAATCCCAGCTCGGGATCATGACCTGAGCCAAAGCAGATGCTTAGCCGACTGAGCCACCCAGGCGCCCCAATAAATAAAATCTTAAAAAAAAAATCCTACCTGCCTTTAGGACCCCAGAGCTCAGATTTTGGGGCCTCACTTAAAAAAACTGCCTGTTCTGGTAGCTTCTCCTCCTTTCCTTGTGTCCCGAGGCAGTGTTAAATATTTTTTAAAAGCTAAAACCAAATAGACAACACACAGTGAGGAACAAAGACTAACAAAAACTGGAATGATGTCAATTTGTGACTTAATTATGACAGTGATTGTCTATGATGAAAAATTGGCCAGAAGTGATTACTTTGATTAGAAAAGCAAAAAATTATAGGAGAAGGAGAGGGCAGTTTGTTAGAATAAAGCTGTGCATTGGGAGAAACCATCAAAACAAAGATCTTGGGGATTCCTCTAAAACTTAAACAGAATTACTATATGACCCAGCATTTCCACTCCTAGGTATATACCCAAAAGAAATGAAAACAGGCATTCAAACAAACATTTGTACACAAATGTTTATAACAGTGCTATTTACAAATAGCCAAAAGGTGGGAACAGCCCAAATGTCCATCACCTGATGAATAAATAAATAAAATGTGGCCTATCCATACAATGGAATATATTTTCCCACAAAAAGGAATGAAATACTGAGACATGCTACAACATGGGTGAACCTCGAAAGCATGATGTTGAGTGAAAGAAGCCAGGTACCAAAGGCTGCATATTGTAGGATGCCATCAGAGTGACCTCATAGAGACAAAAAGCAGATAAGTGATTGCCAGGGGCTGGGGAGAGAAGGAGGAATGGGAAGTGACTGCTTAAAATGTGTATGGGTATGGGATTCCTTTTCAGGAATGTTCTGGAATCGATATTAGTCATTGTTGCACGCTAGTGTTAATGGACTAAATTTCACTGTACTATACACTTATTTTTATTTGATTTATTTATTTGAGAGAGAAAGAGAGCACAAGCAGAGTGAGTGGCAGGCAGAGGGAGAAGCAGGCTCCCCACTGAGCAGGGAGCCCCATGTGGGACTCAATCCCAGGACCCTGGGATCATGACCTGAGCTGAAGGCAGACACTAAACCGTCTGAGCCACCCAGGCGCCCTGCTGTACACTTTAAAATGGTGACTGCTGTGTGATGAGAATTTTACCACAATTGAAATAAAGGTCTTGACCCTGACAGTTTAGGACCTGGAGATCTAGCCAAAGGAACTGTGGTCTAGGGAGGGGACATTGTCCTAAGCCTGCCTCTCAGCAACTTCCTGTGAGCCCTGAAACTGCATAGTTCAGCCTTCGGCTCCCTAGCCAAAGCACCTCTATGGGTGCCAGATGGTTGGTTGGTTGGTTTTTGTCGGATTTCTTGTTCATTGTTTACTGAGAAAGGCCCTCTGGGATGATGGGCATACCATGGGGCCAATGGGGCCAATGTAGTATTTTCTAAGGGTTCCCTTAATCTTACTGAAAAGGCCACTGGAAGAGAAGGCCTTAATAGAGCTGCAGCTTTGTTTATTCTTAGCAGGGTTGTATATGTCTTTGATTACTGTGAACCAATACCTAATGGGGTACCAAACACCAATAAATTATTAAATGATTCAATGGGTCAATGAATGAATGAATGAATATTAGCGTGTGAGCACTTAACTCCCTTGCAGGCATGGTTTCCATTCTGTTTCTTAAACAAGGGTCCCTTGAGAAAGGGAATTAGCCCCAAAGGTCCCTGGAATCCTGGACTTGCTCAGCTCTCTGTGCCCTCAGGTCATTC